GACCCAATTAGTTTTGGTAAATATTTGCATATTAATCACTAATTTGCATAATTAACCAATTTCCAACTTTCACACTGATATCTCAGGTACTAATCATCACATATCACTGAATGTTTATACATGGATGCTGTAGGACAATAGACAGACCTGGATAATTGTGGGTTAAAATCTGTACATATTAATTACCCAATTTGCATAATTAACCAATTTTAAGCTTTCACACTGATATCTAAAGTACTAATTTCCATTTTAATGAAACATAGTAGTACAAAGATGCTCTAGGACAATGTACAAACTTAATTAGTTTGGGGTAAAACTCTGTTCATATTATTTCCCTAATTAGCATAATAATTCATAATTTTTTGGTTCTAATCACATTTCAATTAAACTTGGTACATAGAGTTTTTGTTACATTGCACAGACATCATTAGTTTTACACTCAAATCTGTTCATGTTAATTTTCTGATTTGCATAATTAGTTTTCAGCTAAGTAATTTCTCAGCACATCGGAGTTCTTTCTAAGCTTTCTTTGATTAATTCTGTTGTAAATTTGTAGAAGTCTTATGTTGTAGCTTAATCTGATTAAAATCTGATCTAGCTGAGCTCTTTCTGACAACTAATTAAAGCATGTCTACTAGGAAGTGGTATGAATGTAACTCGATTACTGATTGGGTGTGATTCAACAAAAAGCACTGTACACTGGTAATCGGAATTAAAAGCAAATAAATATACACTGAGCCTCTGCTCACAAGTCTTAGTTCATTCTACAATTAAACTCCCAATAGATTACAATTTCTAAAATTATGATAAATTAATGCCGAAAAAAAAAAAAAAAAGATTTTGCTTTGCGTCCTAGGGAAAGGAGCATGTTTTTCAATTATGCAAGCCCTGTTAAAATACACCGTGTATGTACCATGTTTTTTCATGTTCAGAAATACAGGCCCAAAACAGGAAAAAAGAGTGTGTTAAATGAAATCTACAAACGTCATTTTTTGTGTTGCAGGCATAGACCATAATAAAGTACTTGGCTTCTTTTCGGTTTTGGGGTTTCAAAATAGATGCATTAAAACCAGTACCAATGGATGGCAATCAAATATTGCCCTCAATTAATAACCTCAAAATTTCACTTTTAGTCATGGCTGTTATTTTTGCTATTGCTGCTGTAGAGAGTATACTTTTATTCCCTGATTGGATGGGGACCAATAAAGGGGACTTATGTTTTGACATGTATGAATGTGTTTGTTCATTATCTCTGACATACGTGTACCTAGATGCAAGTGTATTTAAACTTCACACATACATCATAGATTCAAGATGGCAGAATGATAGCTGTTTTTTTGCTGTAATTCATCAAAATCAAACATTTTTGCCATTCCATGTAGAAAATCTGCAATTTTTTAAAGGCACCAACTTGAAGGCAAAATCTTAGATCATCTGGACAATTACCGTTGATGCCTCTGTGATATACAAGTCCTGATTGTGTATAGGTGGATTTCATTCAAACTTTATACATACAGTTTACATTGACCACTTGATGCATGATTGAAAAAGATCAGATTCAAAATGGCCAACTGGCCACCATTTTGTTGTAATTCCAAAGCTACATCCCTGACATGCTTTGACCGAACATGTACAAACCTCATATTTTTCCTAAACTTGATACTTCACCTTGCTGCTTATGTAGTGTAATATGTAATTACTTGTTTAAATTAAAATAATGATAACAATAAAGAAATCATCAGAATGAAAAAGATAATTCACGCTATATCGATACTGACTTGTATTTCTTCTTTGAGGTGGAGATCCTTGCACTGTAACTTATTCGCAAACCACTGCAGCTCACGTAGTATTGTCCTCTGACTGCACAGTACATGGACACTTAAAGGGAGGTGCAACAATGAAAATTATGGATG